GATCTCTTACACTAACTATATAAAATTATGGCTAAGATAGCTGTATGGGTAGCCCTACTAACTTCTATGCTTTAAGACATTATAGTGGTAAATAAGGGAACCTGCCGCGGTTACATGTGTATTCAGCAATATGTGTGTGGGTGTATTCAGCAGTCTGTGTGTTTATTTAGCAGTCTGCATGTGTGTATACAACAGTCTGTCTGTGTGTCTGTATTTAGCCGCGTGTGTATGTGTTAAGTAGCGATGTCCCGAACGGTTCGCCGCGGACTCATCATTGAGTAAACTTTGACCCTGTACCTCACAGTCAGCAGACACATTCCAGCCAATCAGCAGCAGACCCTCCCACCTCCTGGACAGCTCACTAAGAATGCAACTTCACAATGAATGTAAAATGAATGCTGTCCAGGAGGTGGGAGGGTCTGGGAGGGAGGGTCTGCTGCTGATTGGCTGGAATGTGTCTGCTGACTGTGAGGTACAGGGTCAAAGTTTACTCAATGATGAGTCCGCGGCGAACCGTTCGTGGAGAACCATTCGCGACATCACTAGTATTATGCAGTCAGATGGGAGAATGGTGAGAGGAATAGGACCAGAATATCCATCACTGTTATAAATGGTATGTACACGCATTGTTATATTCTATATATACACACACAATAACATACACAGATATAGTAGACACACACTCACAGTATACAGACACTGACACGCGCTCAGACAAGAGTATGCACTCACTGTTATACACATTTAGACAGCGACACACTGCTATACACACACTCATACAAACAGTATATACAGAGAGAAATAAAGTATTTGATCCTCTGCTGATTTTGAACATTGGCCAACTGACATAGAAATGATCCATATAATTTTAATGGTAGGTGTATTTTAACAGTGAGAGAAAAAATAACAAAAAAGAATCCAGAAAAACGCATGTAGAAAAAAAAGTTATCAATTGATTTGCGTGCCATGAGCTAGCCCACTCCAGGACCTTTAATGTGCTTCTTCTTGAGCCAATCCTTTGTTGCCTTGGCTGTGTGTTTTGGGTCACAGTCATACAGGAATACCCACCCACGACCCATTTTCAATGCCCTGGCTGAGGGAAGGAGGTTCTCACCCAAGATTTGATGGTACATGGGCCCATCCATTATCCCTTTGATGCGGTCACCAAAGCATAATGTTTCCACCTCCATGTTTGATAGTGGGGATGGTGTTTATGGGATCATAGGTAGCATTACTCCTCCACCAAAAACGGCGAGTTGAGTTGATGCCAAAGAGCTTGAATTTGGTCTCATATGACACTTTCACCCAGTTTCCCACTGAATCATTCAAATGTTCATTGGCAAACTTCAGATGGGCCTGTACATTTACTTTCTTGAGCAGTGAGATCTTGCAGGCGCTGCAGGATTTCAGTCTTTCACGGAGTAGTGTGTTACCAATGGTTTTCTTGGATACTATGGCCCCAGCTGCCTTGAGATCATTAAATGGACTCTCCAGTGCCAGGAAAACATATTAGTTTTATAAAAACTACAATAATTACACTTGCAGGGTTAAGGGTAGTGGGAGTTGGCACCCAGACCACTCCAATGGGCAGAAGTGGTCTGGGTGTCCCTTTAACAAGATTCTCACATATAGTTCTAGGCTGATTCCTCACCCTTCTCATGATCATTGAACTCCATGAGGTGAACCAGCCCGAGGGAGACTGACAGTTATTTAATGTTTCTTCTATTTGCGTATAATTGCACCAACTGTTGTCACCTTCTCACCAAGCTGCTTGGAGATGGTCTTGTAGCCCATCACAGCCTTGTGTAGGTCTACAATCTTGTTCCTGACATCCTTCGACTGCTCTTTAGTCTTAGCCATGGTGGAAGGTTTGGAATGTGATTGATTGATTCTGTGGACAGGTCTCTTTTATTCAGGTAACGGATTTAGATTAGGAGCACTCCCTTTAAGAGAGTGCTCCTAATCTCAGCTCGTTACCTGTATAAAAGACACCTTGGAGCCAAAAATCCTGCTGATTGATTGGGGATCAAATGCTTATTTCACTCATTGACATGCAAATCAATGTAAAACTTTTCTGACATGAATTTTTCGGGATTTTTTTATTTGTTATTCTGCCTCTCACTGTTAAAATACACCTACCATTAAAATGATATACTGATCATTTCTTTGTCAGTGGACAAACGTTCAGAATCAGCAGGGGATTAAATACTTTCACACTGCCTCACATACACAGCGCTATGCACACAGTCAGGTAAAGTACAAATCTTGTAAGTAGTTCATTAGTGATTTAAGGAATTTTCTCCTTACAAATGTTCTCATTCTTTTATGTACGCTGTGTCCTGTGATGTCACGCATATATAATTAATTATTCAAATTAGTATTTTTTTCTAAAAAAGGTGGGAAACCTAGCTCTGCTATAAATGCAACACTAAGCTACATTGCTATGTGTGTATATACATCACAGGATGCCCACAATTACCACTAGTGACAGCCACCTGGATTGCAGCAAGTGGGTAAAGTCTGATGCTGAACTGTCAGG